ACCTCAAGAAAGCTTGAAAAACATTAAATCTATAGGCTAGGTCTGAAAGACCATCTAATTTCCTTTCTATTGGTATATGTCTATATGGAACCATAAGATTATTGCGGTAAGCTCGAGAGCAAAAAGTCATGATATGAAATTTCCAGATTCAAGAGCAATAACTAGGAATTGTAGGATGTACTAGAATGGCTCTCATTTCTTTATTTTCCCAAACAGAATGGTGCATCTTTGACACATAATATGCAGAACTGAATGCACTTTTCCATGAAATAATTGTAAACTCTAAATTCTCAAACAATTTCACCCCTTCTTTGTGACTGTTAGAAAAGTGTGATTTCTTTTTTTTTTCTTCTATTTTTTGTAACAAGAGAAAAGGTCCCACTTCAAGCCAGCTTGACAAAAATGAAATCTACGTCTGAAAGACCATCCAATTCCCTTCCCATTGATATACATGTCCATCTGGAGTAGATAGATTATTGCATGAGGACCCCTGAAACATAAATGAAAATGCCAAAATATGCAAAATTGGTGGGTGTTGACCGAGGGAAAGGGGAGAATGACACAAAAAAGTTTAAAGAAACCAAACAGGGAAACATTTATGTAGGATACCAAACTGTCCACATCTGTTGAGGAAACAGAGTGGAATGGGTGGGTATCCAAGTAATGTCCTTTCTACTTCCGAAACTGAACAACAAAGAGATGGTCAGATGCGATTTAGAAAGGTGACTTAATTTCTCAGCATTCATAAATTTTCAGCATATATCTGCCACATGGTTTAAAAAATTAAACTGATAACACAGGGATCAGCATGGTCATGGGAACATGAAGAACTGAGCAAAGCAGCCCAATACATGATAGATACCCGACTCCAAGTCTACTTACAAAGTTCTGCGTGAGGGTCTGCTCCACCAGACAAACACATCTCTGATACACTGGCTCACAATATGGAAGGAAGCCAGACTGCAGGGCTGTGGCCACACTGCTCAAACACTGAAAATGGGACAGACAGATGTGTAGCAATGAGCAAGGCTCACAGAATCGAGGAAAGATTTTTATGCAAGACAAGTTGGGAGTGGCATTCAAAAAGTAAAGCCCTATCAAAACTTACAGAATACAAAGCTAAAAACAAGAAAAACCTTCTGCAACTTGTGACATTTGAACGCCAAATTAACAAAAATAACTCTCCACAAGATAATAGCAAATTACGGAATAATTTTCTATTTCTATCATGAAAAATGTTAAATAAAACCAATAAAACAAAAACAAAATATTTTAGTTTAGAGATTTAACAACATAAAAATACTATTACCCAAATATGAATCCCAGTTGAGATTTTGGCCTGTCTGATTCAGAACAACTTGTAGTCACAAACCATATGGCACTTACCTCCAGAAGAGGGAACAAATCTTTATCTTCATCCTTGAGCATGTTCCATTTCTGGATTAGTGGAGGCATGAGCATGTTGACATATTCCTGAGAGAGAAATCACAGAAAGAGGAATAGAAAATCTAGTCCCACCGGGAACAAATAGGAAAATAAGTTTTTGATCTCATTAAAGATTTTGAACAACTATCATTATTTCTTTGATTATCATCCTAAACAAGAGGAAAGAACTAATATAGTAACTTTTAACATCAAAGAAAATTTTTGACAAGTTTTAAAGCATTTAAATGAGAAATGTCCAGTAATACATGTTAAAAAAAAAAAATACCCATAATCCGGAGATGAAAAGACAGAGAAAGATGCAATATTTTAATGGTAAAGAACGACAAGTGAGCCAGAGATGACCCCCTCCAAAAAAAAGGGGGGGGGGGGGAGAGAAGACTTACCGGTTTATTCAAATGGTGACCAACAGAATCAGCTAGCGTCCCTATGGCGTCATAGAGAATGAGCAAGTTCTTATGCTGTAAAAAAAAATAAAAAATAAAATAATATATAGCCTGAAATACAAACACATATTACACAACCACTGCTTCAGAGCAAGGGTCAAAAAGAGCTGGAAGGAAAAGACAAATTAGATAGGAAGTGTATGTGAGTAAGCATGTCGGTTTTCAAAAGCAACGGATAACAAGGTGTGAAACGGTTAACAAGGTGTTATCTGTTAACAAGATGTTATCTAAAGAGAGCCCATCAACGAAAAAAAATCGAAAACATTCCCAGACAGGGCAGTGTTCTTGCACGATTTGTCCGCAGCACACCATCCTTTTGTAGTATAGACTATTAGTTACAATTACAACAACACTCACCCAGGAAATTAGATTTCCCCCCCTTTGATTACGGAGAGGGGCGGCAGCTGAAAGTTCCGATTTGGGTCAAAATTATGGATTTAGAGACGTGGGCATTTTCCGCCTCTTCAGCCTCCCATACAACTATTTCATCGCATACAGTCCCTCGTTTTACCTTTATCGCCCGCTCACTCACAAATGGCCGTTTTTCTACGTACTTTTTAAAACAACTCAGCCCTTTTTCATCTGAACTTCATGCAATTTTTGCAGTATGAAGAGAAGACACAGCAGTACCCATCAAACATTAACCCAATCAGTGCTCTTGAGAAAAGAATAAGTCTTTCATAATAACCAATAGAACCCAATGAATGAGAAGCCTGTCCACATACCTGATATTTTCCGAAAGCAAAGACTAGAGTCTCCAGGATGAAGCCCAGGTATGGGACTAGCTCAGTGCAGGCTTCTTCCTCCAGAGTGGCAAATGCTGAGCAAGCTGCCTCCTGGACTCTCTTGTTGGCATCTAGCACTCGCTTCAGCAGCTGCAACGACAATACAGAACTTCCAAAACCACATCCCAACAGCATGTGACACAAATCAGTACCCACACAATTTACGTTGCCTCCAGAATCACTGTCAGGAGTCTTACAACATGGGGCACCATAACAAAAGGGACAAAACTGGAAAACTCAGTAACCAAAAACATAAAAAATTTGCTATAAAATCATTGCGTTCACCTACTCAAAAAAATATACCTTCTTACAAAATGACGAGAGCTGCAGATAATATTCCCTACTTGAACTTTCACAAACGAAGTAGGTGAGAGAACAAGTTCACAACAGAATTTAAAAGACATAAATCTATATAATATGTACATATTTTTTCAGATTATAGCCCTGAAGGCCTGAAGGATAATAAATAAATACTTATGTAGGATACCAAACTGTCCGCATTTGTCGAGGAAACAAAGTGGAATGGGTGGATATCCAATTAATGTCCTTTCTACTTCCGAAACTGAACAACAAAGAGATGGCCAGATGCGATTTAGAAAGGTGCAAGAATAAGCAGCAAACTAAGCAAAGTGGTCCTTACCTCTGTCATTAATGGCTTGAGAAAGTTGTCATGAGGCTGGCCCACCACCCAGTGTGCGTAGCGACTTAAGGTCCAGCAGGTGATGGACCTCACCAAGGCTTTCTTGTCAGCCAGACAGTTGATGAGGTAGGGAATCAGCTCAGGAAGATGGGGGATCATGCCGCTCATGCAACCCTCTGCTATGGCTCCAAGCACCAAGATGCCAGACTCCTTCACATCCCAGTCAGCATGGAACAAAGTCTCCTTTAGGATGGGCAATAGCACAGGCAGCACTTCTTCGTGGAACACATTGGCCAACACGTCCAGCGCTGCAGCTGAACACTTTCCTGTGCACACACAAAGACAATTTTTTGTGACCTGACAGAGAACACCGTTTGGGACTCATGTGATTGACAGGCATACAAGGCAACACATTAACATCTTATGGGAAACATACCGACTCATACCAAAGACGGTGAGGTATACCAAACTCAATCATTGATGTAACACGAAAAAAATTGTTCAATTCTTTCTCTACTCAAACTAAAGCAAGGTCAAAGGTAGTGTGCAATTTTCTAGTAATAGTTACGATATCATGTATCCGACACTATATAAGCTGTCAAACTACCAACACACCTACAAACACAACAAAAGCTTTTTCAAACCAATCGATTGAAAAACTAAATGCCTAACCTTTATCTTCTATCAAGCTGAATAGGTCGAAGTAGGTGTTCACAACAGAATTTAAAAGACATAAATCTGTATAATATGTACATATTTTTTCAGATTATAGGCCTGAAGGATAATAAATAAATACATATGTAGGATACCAAACTGTCCGCATTTGTCGAGGAAACAAAGTGGAATGGGTGGATATCCAATTAATGTCCTTTCTACTTCCGAAACTGAACAACAAAGAGATGGCCAGATGCGATTTAGAAAGGTGCAAGAATAAGCAGCAAGCTAAGCAAAGTGCATAGAGCCTGCTGTTGAGCGGGGATTTGCGCTATACAAATGCTATCTATAATTATTATTATTTCTCAACATGAATCCGCCCTATAATCATTATTGGTGTTTGCTGGGAATGGACTTGAATAATTGTACAAAAACATTCAAATTTCTTACTAAAGTCTCAGCACTCACTAGGACAATAAATAAAAAGCAATAAGAAACACTAGACTTACTCAGATTCCAGTCCGACAGAGAATCATCATCATCATACCCTTCATCAGGGTCAGCTTCCTGGTGAAACGAAAAGAAATGATCTTAGAAATGAGGGAAAACGTGGTCATCAGTTCCACACAACCAAAAAACAATGACAAACAAATACTTAACCACTGGGCTATGCACCACAGACCAGCAAATGAATCTTTCAACCTTTTTTTAAAAAGTCCTAGTAAGTCAATAAAGACAGCTAGTTTTCTTGTATCAGAACAACTGAACATGTGAGCAGGAGCTGGCCGGTCATGAAATTCCATTTAAATGAGAAGTAAGAAGTGAGTAGAGCATATAAAAATATACTTGCATACCATATAATTTTGCAGTTCTTCATAGTCAATTATATATGGTCTGGCAGTTGCTTACAGAAATCTGGTGTTATGCAAAAATGATATGTAGGATACCAAACTGTCCACGTTTGTCGAGGAAACAAAGTGGAATGGGTGGATATCCAATTAATGTCCTTTCTACTTCCGAAACTGAACAACAAAGAGATGGCCAGATGCGATTTAGAAAGGTGCATGAATAAGCAACGAGCAAAGCAAAGCGGTCCTTACCTCTGCCATTAAGGGCTTGAGAAAGTGCAAAACATTAAGGCAACAAGTACAACTATATACGGATCCCTGTCAGGTAGGTACATGTACCCACTGCTTACCTCATCCCCTTCATGTTTCTGAGTAGAATGGGTGCGTGTCTTATGAAACCTTGGCTTGATATCAGACTCTTTATCCGGAATCATTTCATCTTCTTCCACATCACCCTGGGGACAAAACGAGAGAAATGAGTTCTTTCAGTTTAGTTTTAGTCAAGTTTTACGCCGCTCGCAACTGTACAAGGTCATATGAGCGCCAAAGGGTGGATGTCAACAGAGAAGTCACTACAGGGAATCAGGCCTACTCTGATCACCTCTCTAGCTTCAACAGCAGTAAGTCTGCTTCAACTATCAAGGCACCCCGGAAATAGTGGGTCACAAGAGTGTGACAAACATACCAAAGAAATAGGGAAAAAAGACGATAGGATTAGGAACGAAAAAGCAGCAGTTCCCTGTTGCAGTTCAGGCAGTTATGAACATGACATTGACGAATCAGCCCATTTACAATCCTACTGTGCATAAGAACAGGTTAATGTCCCCCCTTTGGGATAGGCCTAAAGACACTTCGGTCAGTAGCACCACCCCGGGGGTACAAATGACAGTTTTTGGGTTGTATTTGGGGGTAAGTATTTTATGGCACTCGCAACTGCATAAGGTCACCAGAGCGCACGGGACACACCAAACATTTTCAATTGGTAGGACATTTTGCCATGGTGGCGGCTGAAGCCTACTTTTATCGATTTTGGACCACCATGGGTGCCAACTTGCACACGTGACCTCCGAGATTTTTTGTCCTTATCCGAGGTTTGATGTAGATCTTACCTACAATAAGATCAGGGGTGTGACTGAAAGACAGCAGTAAGAAGGAGCCAAGGAGTAGAAGTAGAAAGGCTGCAGAAAGAGTCAGGAGCCCAGAGGAGGGGGCAAAGGAGGTGAGGGGGTGGGGGCAGAAAGTTGAGACGAAAGCAAATGATAGAACATTGCTTAAGAGCAGGAAAGGAGGTTAAAGGAGACAATTTTAAAGAAGAAATTTTCGTAAGCTACCGGGATCTTTAAATGAGAGACTAACACCTTAACCTCTGGGCCACAAGAGCCCCCGAAATGACAGTTCAATCTAGCATCACTTCCTTGAACCTTGATAAATTGCACTATTTTTCTTGGGTAAAAAAACAGGAACAAATGTAACAACACATATAATCAGAGACAAATATAAAAAAGGAAGCACATAGAAAACCTCAGACAGTGAGAAGACATCCAGGCATTGGACAAGAAACACAACCTACACCGGAGACCTCATTTGCATGCATCATCTCACTACACAAATATCACTTCAGTCATTAACAGGTCCCACAAGCCCACTCTATTCACCTTCAGTAGGATGATGTCAATCTCAGAGTACCTCATGCCCTTCACGAGGATGGGCACCAAGCGCTCAATGTGGGGCCCCAACACTTCTTTGCACACTTTCTGTTCTGCCAGGGACAGCCAGAACTCACAAGACTCAAGTGCCACTGTGTCGTCCCCATCTTGAGTCCGTTCCATCATGTACTGAAATGAAAATCACAGAGTGTCTCAGAAATGTTCAACACACTCAAAAGAACAAAAACAACAAAAGATCGTATCAAAAACTTTCCTCTGTCAATCCAGATCAAACAACCCATCGACGGTTTAATCAAAATCTGCTTTATTAGAAAAAATAGAAGAATAGAATCAGGTACAGGATAAAAACACCATTTTATGACATGACAACGGATAAACATTATTTAATCTACCAACTAATAGCACAAAACTGCCATATCTTTTCCGAATTTTTTTTTTCACGACAGAAGCCCACATATCATTCCTGGACCATGCCTAGCATTGAACAATGGAATACACAAGCCTAAACAACCAACATAACCCAAAGAGAGATGCAACCCTACCTGTATGATCTGGTCGATGTGAGGCATCAGTCGGTCAATCCTCACTTCCACCAACATGACTAGAGCTCGACACACATTCTTACGCACTTCAGTGTCTTCGTCTTTGGCCAAGAAGAACAGATTCTGAAATGAATACATTCATATATAAAGTGGAGCATACAGAGAACAGGAATTGCTATAAACTAGGACATTTCTAAACAACCCTTTGACGATAAGTACGCAGATTAGAAAACAAATCTTTTTTTAATGCACTGAATACGAATATGTACCTCTCTTTCTTGAGAGACACAAATTCCCCATTTCTATCTGAAACATAACACTCAGATATTTTTTATTCAAGTAGTCAATATTGCCTACAAAAGCATCCAAATTTTGAGCTTACTGCAGACGCCAGTGACACTATTCTGCCGCAAATGACAAAACGCCTTTTTTCCCACAAGTTTCGAGAAGGGGGTGGGTGTGTGTGTGTGTGTGTTTTGTCAGCGTAACCATTTCATAATAGTGATTCCGAAATTTGAATTCTAATTTATTCAAAAACTAGACACCGTTTCACTTTCGATTTTTTCACACAAGTAGAGTAACTGATCAGGCTTTCGATTTAGCAAATAAAAAATTTTGGCGCCAAAATGGAAAAAAAAAGAGGCGTTTTGTCAGCTTACATCAGTATTGACCAAGTTTGCAATGGTATGTTTCCTGAAATCCAGAAAATAATAGTACCCAGTGTGCTACACTAAACAGAATTATTTAAAATCAAGTCTTCAAACTAGAGAACTATTTATCACCAAATCAAACATCGCATATTTTGCTAAATTTTCATTTCATTTTTTTTTTTACATTCTGAATGTAGAATCGCACATTTGCAATAACTGTCCTTGCTCAGCTGTGGTATTTCATGGCGAAAGCTAAAAACCAGTATCAGTATACTTTGGCTTTTCCTTTTAAAATATTGCAAATTTACCAACCATAAACATGTTCAAACATACCTGTATGAAAGTGTCAATGTGCACCATAAGGGCCTGGGTTCTGCTGATGATGAACTGGTTCACACAAGCTATGGCATGAGACCTGTTGAAAAAACATGAGTTAAGTGAAGACACTGTTAATACCATTGATTATTATGGACCCACTCAATAGGTTGGAATTACTAATTCTCCCTTTTAGTATCTTGAACTTTCTTGCCTGATGTATTTTACTAAAGCACTGCATTAGCAATTGTAACTGATAAATTTGTCAGCATTGAAAAGCATTTGAAGTTGGCATGTGTTTTTTTATGATTATTAACTTGTTCAGTGCTAAGGACGAGAATACTCGCGAAACCTGGGACCCACCCACATATTAGCAACCAATTCTCGCATTCTGCCTAGCTGTCTTTAAAGAAAGAATTACTCCAATCCATACCAGGTTATTTTACTAACCATGATGCATTATGGGAAAGGTCACGGAGACATTTTTTCAGCTCGAACAGCTCCACTAGTTTTCATTGATTTTCACGGTAGACTTAATTTCATGTTGCCATAACAAAACTACCCAGTATATGATGGGAGTTCACTGCTGGAGTGCTCAGCACTGAATGAGTTAACAGTTTTTACAAAACTATATATACAAAGCACACTGTTGATGCCTAGATCTGACCTGAACATATTAAATAAAACAATTTATCAGCCAGTCAACTTTTGACAGATGTGTGGGTTAACTGTTAAGTCTTCATACCCTCAGAACAGAATACATCACAAGCCTGTGATCCTGACGATGCATCACTACACACTATGCCACACACTGCAGCAGATTGTTTCACGTTTACAATAATAATCCCGGGTTTGGTTGGGTTGTTTTTTTTTAACTTTAAAAAATGACCTCATTAACTTCAAATGTCACCCACAAATTAAAAGCACATTAATTATCCAACACCTGTCAACCAATGTTTGCTGTGCTCTTGACTTCAGCACAATCAGTGTTTTTCTAATGGCAAAGTGGCACAGATAGCTACAAGAGCACCAGGCACACATGGTGTTGTGTTCATAATGCTGGGCAGCACTGGTAATGCAAGTTTTAGTTTTAGTAGGTTTTACTGCGCTCGCAACTGCATAAGGTCATATGAGCGCCAGAAGATTAAAGGTGTCACAAGAGACTAACAAACAAAAAAGAAATAGGGGAGATAAAGGACGACAGAGGTTTGATAGGAAAGAAAAAGCAAACCACACCAGAGCACCCGCCAAACACCCACTTGGTAGTGCAAGGTGAGCAGAATGTACAGGACAGTAAAATAGCCACCAAAAAAAAAAAACCAAAAAAAAAAAAAATTAGAATGAAAAAGATGAGCCAACAGAGATCATGACATACCTAATTTTGGGGCTTTGATGTCTGAAGAAGTTGAGGAATTTTGGAATAAGCACGTTGAGAGGCCGGTCAGCAATATCACTATCCAAAGTCTCAGCATTGTCTTCACAAATTTTCTGCAAAGCTCCAAAAGCACCCTAAAAAGAAAAGGAAAAAAAAAAAAATCAGAGAAAAGGTGTTATAAATTTATCGACAAAAAAAAATATGTATGAATGCTTTGGATCATCTACATGCACATTCAAAATGCCCCCCCCCCCCCCCCCCCCAAGTGTAAGGGACAGCAACCACAACAAGCAGGACCAAGGAGGGCATCAATAAACCTCACGCTGATCAAAAAAGGCACAATACTTCTAGATTCTCTTGCCAGCTTTTCCTCTTAAAGCTGATGTTTGATGAAATAAAGTAAACACATCACCACTATGGTCATCTAATGCTTAGCAAAAAGAAAAACTGATATAGAAACAAAAGGACAACTAAATTAAGACCTATCAGTGACCAACACAAATCTCAACATTCAAAAGCAAATATGAAAACAATGTAATTCACAGCTACTTTCAAAAGCAAGCAATGACAGTAAATTTTAAAAACCCAAAATTTGAAGAAGTATCTAACGGCAAGCTGACGATCAACAGCATTCTTACCTCACAGACATTGTAATCCTCAGAGTCCAGACAGGTGCACAAATGAGGCAAAACTTCTGGCCACTTGTGCAACTCTCCTTTTGAGATAATGTTAGTAATGATGATGCCAATTGTGGCTCGAATTAATGGAGAGGGGTCTCCAATGCTGTTCAGACATTCCTGCTTGATAAAAGAGGTCACTTCCGCAGGGAATCTTTCAAAATGGGCCCTCACGTTGTTCTTCAGAATCAAACCACTCAGCGATCGTGTTGGGTCATCTACAAAAGGGAAACAAATTTACAATCATTAAATTATACATTTTCTTTACAAACTAAGACCAACAATAACAGACCATCATTCAATTTTCTCCATAAAAATTCAGGCAAATGACGACTTAGAATTTAAACATCTTAATAGCTGCAAGATTCCATTCTATGAAAATACTACCCCATCTTGACTTCTAAAAGAACGAATTCTCAAAAACACGAAAGGGCACCATGACCCTCATTGGGTGCTTACATCAAAGAGTTTTTTAAAATATCCAGGAAGTAGATCTTCAGCAATCTTTAACACGCAAGACCAACTGTACCTTTGTATCAGTAACGGAATGATGTACATGATGCACAACACCAGCATGTACAGATAGAGGTGAAAAAAGTGCCCACAAAGACACCACCACAAGTCCCAACTCCATCTTTGCAAAAAAATGCTGCACCCGCCAACAAAGACCTGGGTCTATGGGTATTAAGTTCTTGGTACATTATTTTATAACAAAATAAATTCTTACCTTCAGTCTTCAATTTTGTCAGGACAAAAATCAAGTAATTGTTGAAGTCAGGATAATTGTTCAGTTCTCCCAATTTCTGCAGAAAAAGAAAATGTTAACAATAAGAAAGAAGTAGAGAGTAGCTCAGCAGGATTAACTCTTTAAGGGGAAAAAAAAAGAAATGAAAGAAAAATCACAAATTTTTCACACAAGCCAGAGCTTTGCCAGTGATGAAGGCCTAGATCAGAAAGGAATCAGGATTCTAATTTTATTTTGGTGGTCTATGGTGTAAAAATGTTTTATTACTCAACAAAAACAAAACCAACGTTCATAATACCCTTGATTCATCAGTGCTCTGCTGGAACCTAGATCTAGTTTTAACTCAAATTAAAATATACATGAGAGCAAAAAAAACAAAACTCTTACATTGTTATTGTTAACGAGATCAAATTGTCAATTTAGCAAAGTCCCACATCTCTAGTCTCATGCCCTGCGTGTTTGAACGTATGTGTGTGTGTGAGTAATGTCCCCATGTCATGTTTTAGCCAATGATTTAATGTTTTGCAGTTAGGTTTGACATTTTCTTGAAAATAATTGATTTGCGACACTTTTTGTGGTCATGTAAGTGATCTTCAGCAAAAAATACTGTAGTTTGGACTCTAAAGCAGTGCATCTGAGGGCGGGAGTGAAAGTAAAAATTATCTGAGGGCGGGAGTGAAAGTAAAAATTTACCAAGTTCCTCAACCCTGGACGCGCGACGAAGTTTAAGATGTGAGCGCACTACTCTGGAAGCCCACAGGCCCTATGTAAAAGGCGTGGACCCTGTCCTCTAACGTAAAATTTCACTGTTTCGTAAATGGAAAACAAAGAGGGGGCGGCTCTCGTGGCCTAGAGGTTAAGGTGTTCGCCTCTCAAAGGTCCCGGGTTCGAATCCGGGTAGAGACCAAAAAATTATCTTCTCTAAATTTGTCTCCTTTCACCTCCTTTCCTACTCTCTAGCAATGTCCTGTTGTCTGCTTTCGTCTTCTCTTTCTGCCCCCCACCCCTTCACCTCCTTTGCCCCCTTCACCTCCTTTGCCCCCTCCTCTGGGCTCCTGATTCTTTCTGCAGCCTTTCTACTGCTACTCCTTGGCTTCTTCTTACTGCTGTCTTTCAGCCACACCCCTGATCTTCTGGTAGGAAAGATCTACACCTAGCCTTCTCGGACAAGGGCGAAAAATTTCGGAGGGCCCGTGTGCAAGTTGTGCACGTTAAAGATCCCTTGGTGGTCCAAAATCGATAACAGTAGGCTTCGGCCGCCACCCGGGCAAAATTCAAAATTCCTACCAACTGAAAATATTAGGTGTGTCCCGCGCGCTCATATGACCTTATGTAGTTGCGAGCGCCGTAAAAACACTTACCAAAACAAAAAACAAAGAGGTAGATTACAAGTCAAAGTTATAAATGGGTTTGCAAGTTATTTCGAATTTGTAGCGCTTCCCTTAGCCAAGACATCAAAGGATAAAAAGTCTAACTGAAAAACTACACGCTACGTGTCTAACTGTTGACTTCGTCAGGTTTTGAGCTTTGCTTGTAATTGTTGGATCGTTTACCATTTTAGAATGGCTCATTCTATCAGCTTTGAGAAATATGGTTTTACGTATTTTATCATCTGTTGAGCCGAAAAAGGTCAATTTTTATTTTCCCAGTGGCACCCTGAATCATCCACCATTGGCACAGAGGCACGACTGAAACACTACGGTCGCTCAAACTCAGAATGAATTAGGAAATAGCACAGGAATACTCTTGTGGGAAACAATGCAGCCCATAATTTGATAATTTAGTTATGTTTGAAATTTTCATGAAAATAAGTTATTTCAGACAGTTTTGGTAGATTTAAGTGTGATCTGCAACAAACAACAGAGCATTTTCACCCCTGAAGAAGTGCATCTGTGTGCGGTAAAGTAAAAATTTACCGTTTCAGCTTTCGATATCAACCCTGAAAGTGCCGTCAAATAACCCACCGCCACGGCCGGTCAGTTGTTAGTTCTTGTCCTGCGTCTGTGCTGAGATGCGAATCTATCAACAACCGAATACGCCCGACGCAAGTGACCGGAATAGATCATTTTCACCGTCCATCGCATTATTGCGGCAAGTGATCGCAAATCAAAATGCTAAAAGTGCTATTTGCCAAGGGCCTAAATTTTAGTTTCACTCCCATACACAGATGCACTGCTTTTGGGGGTTCATTTGCTTTATTGTTTACTTTGTTGATTGATTCTTTGAACAAAGGCAAAAATCGGGCACTTGTACTACAGATCTGTAAATCTAGATATATTTAGATCTAGATTCTAGATCTATCTAGATCTCTAAATCTAGAATCTGGACAGATCTCTGCTTTCTTGACAAAAAACGAAAACAACGTGACTTTCTCCGAACGTTCGGGAAAATAAATTTCAACTCTATTTCTCCTAACGGCTTCCGATCTCGATTTTTTTTCTGAATATTCAGATACTTCAGTTGTGGTTGGGGCAACGTTGCCGGACTACACTTCATTTGAAAATACCTTCATAACTCCTCCATGCCCCCCCCCCCCCCCCCCACACACACACGGGCCACTCCATTCGCTTATTTAGCAATGACAATGAAAAATTAAATTTTCATCCAAATTGCTTAAAAATGGGCTTAAATGAAAATAGAGTAAATTCTAAGAACTATGGTTTTTAAATTTTAAAAACCCATTGATAAATAAAAAAGTTATTGGGATTTTTGTTTGCAAAATGTTGGAAGACCTTCATATAGGAAAAAATCGCCAAAATGTGGGACATGTTTTGATGTATTTTGAGGAAAAACTTCATAAGTCAGTAATAAATTGGAGCATATGAATGAAACTTGGCATCTCCATGTGATTTTTAGTGCCGAATCTAGTTCTGCTAATACTTTTTCGATGTCTTCATTATTTTGGATCTTAAAGACACATTTGCGTGAAATTTGTTGAATTGCGTGACATCGTTTTTACCGCGACGCGATGACTCCTTCTAAAACTCAGTAAAGCGCTATCAGGAAAACCCACGATGTAGTCATCGGTGACCCATTTGGTTATAGACAGCCAATCACATGCCGCCTAGCGATCACACGCCTCTTGCATGCGGACACCTCACGTTTGGAATGCGCGATAAAGTTTCTAGATCTAGTGTTTTATCAATGGATGGGTGGTAATTTTAAGTTGGTACGGAAAATTTACTAAACGCAGAGATCTGAAATTTTACAGCAATCATAGCTGCCACTCAGAAATTTTTAAAAAGGAGGAAATTCACGCGAAGGCGTACGCGCGCTCTCCGAAACCAGTGAGATCCAGAGGCAATATATACTGGAAAATCTAGCCTATGGTTTTGGAAGGGAAAACTGTCATATTGTTAACCATAGGCAACTGAATTAAAATGTATATTTGAAAAAAACAACCAACAAACAAACAAACATAAAGGCAGTAAGTTGACTAACAAGCATTCGAGTCAGTTTGACAGTTTGGACTTGGTGACTAAAAATCCAGTGTTTTTTGCCAGCTGGTGTCTTATAAAAAGATTTCTTTCTCTTTAAACTTGTACATACATAGACGTAGAGCAGTATCGGACCAAGGATGCAGGCACTCCTGTACAATTGCGGTCCCGTTTGCACTTAGTGCCCCTGTAGTGTGTTTCTTATTCAGAGATCTAAACTGAATTAAAATTATAGCCTAGGCAATCTAATCTAGATCTAGATATATCTAAATATGTGTAGATCTAGATTATATCTAGATCTAGAGACAGATTTTCTAGATCTAGATCTAGATTCACTTCCGCAGCAGCCCCAATAGCCGTCATGTAAACAAACGGGACCGCAATTGTAATTGTACAGGAGTGCCGCGGGCCGCGATTTCTTTCGCAAAAAACGGCTAGATCTAGTTGAATTTTCTAATGAACTTTTCAAGTCGCACACAGGCTGCTTCTTTCTCATTCCAGCTCCTTTTATTTTTGCATTCTGAATCAATTTCTCTCGAATTTCCGCCAATTTCAATGACAACTCGGCGCGCTAACGTCCCGATGCCCGATCGACACTGTGTTGCTCCACAACAATAAACAATGTGAAACTAGCGCTGGGCCTAGAAGAACGGAAGTAGAAAGCTACGGGCGGACATGCGCAAACCGCGTTTTCGTCTCTCTCCCGGTTCGGTGTTTTCCGTGGGGGGGAAAAAAAGTATGAAATTTGCGACCAAGAGCGGTCCAGCGGAGGAAGGAGGACAGTTGCGGGAAAAGCTAGATGTAGCGGAGTTTCCGCTGTTTAGCGGGAAAGCGGCAGCTATGAGCAATAAAGAAGACATGTGGGGGCGCTTGTGTGGTCGGCTATCAACCCGCAGCTCCGCTTAGTTTTCGAACCGCAGAGGAAATTCGCACAAACACGGCAATATCTCCGGTTCTAATAATCGTTCGGGATTGTACGCTGGCATGTCGTTAGTTTAACCTTTCCTCTGGTTGGTTGCCGAGTTTCATTTATTTTCGTCCAGGAGTTTTCCCGTAACTATACTTAGAAGAGAGTCACTTCTGATTCCGAGCGGCCCAAAAAATACCCCTCGCGCGGAGGCCGATTTCCGGCCCAAGGCGCAGCGGGCGATTGGCATTGCTAGCTTATTATCAACAAATCTCGAGAACGGAAACTGTTCGGAGAAATAGAGTCGACCAAACTAAAAGGTAGTGTCAATTGTCACCGAGTGACGTGATGGCAATTGACAAAAATTGACAGCAGCGTCAATTTCCACCGAGTAAATCGGAGATCTTTTGCGTTGATGAGCAGATCTAGCCTATTGTGCTTGAGTGCTCGGTGTTGTGCGTTCGCCTCTCTGTCCCTCCGGGTGTGTGTGTCTTTTCCTGACCTCCGCGATTTATGTTCCCCGAAATAAAATGAATTTCTCCTAGAGTTTGTGTGCGATTGTGACCTTCTACGTTTTGTATTGCCTCTGAGTTGGTTCTACACCGAAGTGTAGGCTAAGGCTAGCCTAGACCTACGTCTCATTGAAAACACGCCAAGTAGGTACCGTAGCTCTAGACTAGATCTAGATTCTAGATCTAATCTAGATCTAGATCCTCGTCCAAGGATATTAGAAGAGAACAAACTGACCCATTTGACACACATTATGAATAGGAAGCTAAAGATAGTGTTGTTTTCAGACTTTACACCACTTCACTCGGTGGCAATTGACGCTGCTGTCAATTTTTGTCAATTGCCACCCGCGTCACTCGTGGCAATTGACGCTACCAAACTAAAAAGGGCACAATCTGAGGACTTAAAGTACAATAAAACCAACAAATAAACCAATTTACAAAGTTCTAAAAACACTTAAAACAAAGACAACATTCTTTATCATGATTAATGCTCCGCAAGGGACCACACAATAACATTTATAGTGTTCTATTTAAGTTCCCAAGTCCAAGAGGATGAGAGGTGTGCCATTTTTATTTCAAACTTACGTCATGACCAAACGAACTCCACCAGACACTGGAGCTGCTGCCCAGAATTGGTGGCATTGAACATAATGAGAAGTATTGGAATGTTATGATGTTCGCTATACATCAAAGTATCTTCCAATAGAGACTTGTGGTTCAAAATGCAAAAATTGGGAAAGAACAAAACCGAGTTCAGACAACGACAACGCGGTTCGGAACTCCGACACTCAGACTCAACACAAGACTTGCTTGGTCTGGTCACGTGTATGAGCAAGGGTAAATTATAATTGTAAACTGAACACAGCAATCAATATTGTTGACATAAAATATTATATAAGTTACCTGCTGTACAGCCCTTTGTGTCTCAGTGTCGGGTGATTGAGATTCCTTTAGCAATTGTAATATTTGTCGAAGACCATCTTCAGCAGGCTGCCACATCGCCATCTTGATTTTTCTTGACTAAAGTAGTTCTTGCTCCTTACCATACTTTAGGCCTATTACGACATCCTTCTAAATATAGATCTGAACATTAGCAATGGTATACAATCTATAGGATGTAAATAACCCTGAAATGTATTATATATACTTGTTTGCTAACAATAAAAAAGATATACTGGTCAAAACAACATATTTCAGTGAAAATATCAGCACAATACTTTTAACTACTTCTTTTCTCGTCATAATATATTCCAAAAAGGCAAAACGAGCCAAGGATCATTATATCCATACGCGACGCGTAAAAGAAAAACGACTTCCGTTGCGCCAGAGTTCGTTAAAAGTTATATTCAATGAATCTATTCATTCAACACATTAGGCCTACATTAGATTAGCCTATTTTGTCATGGCGTTGTGTTTTTAATTTGTGTGTGTGCGTGTGTGTGTGTGGGTGTTGTGTGTGTGTGTGTGTGTTCTTGGCTGCTTATGTAGTACGCCTCCTCTGACAGAATTAACATTCTGTCATTCAGAAGGCTGGTTGCTTTTGTCCCTGCTTGCCGCGGTCAAAGCGAAAATCATCTCAACAGAAAGCAAATATTTATACATGTACTCGATTTTGACCAGTCCAAATTCTCAAATAGGCTAGTCACTTTCTTTCAAATGTAATGGCGGGGGGGGGGGGGGGGGG